GTAGAAGAGCAGTATCAAGTATTTTCCTTTAAAATCCTTCAGAGATATATTTTTAATTTTTAAATCAACTATCGCGATTCCTGACCAAGGAAGCGCAGGGCTTCCCAGTGCTGGTACTTTGTGCACTTCCGGTTCGCGCGGCTTCTGCGGTTCACCGCCGCAACAGAAATTGTTGTTCTCCACCTTGCTCTTTAAAAAGAAATCGAAAGTTGTCATACTGCTATGGATTACAAAAAGAACGTATAAACATTAGTACTTTATTATACATATAAATGTGAATATTAGCGAGTATCGTTTCTAATAATTGAAACAAAAGATGAATTGGGAACGAAATTCGTTGAATCGATCAATTTAAGATATTTTCTTTTTGAAAATCCTTCAATCTCATACTGTACACATAATATACCTCAGCAGCAAAAATGTATAAATTTCTCCAACATACAAGTTCTGGCAAAATAGAAAAGCTTCCTATCCAAAGTAGAATATGCACGATGATTCATAAATCACTTTACTATTGAAAAATGGTATAAATATTTTTCAAAATCTGCAACAAAATTTTTTAAAACACGTAATAAAAAAAAACGTTATTCAATTTTGAAATGGTAAAGTGATTTATGTGTCACCGTGCGCAGTCATAATATTGTATTTCTCTTAGAAGAAGGTCTGACAAATACAATTATCTCACTTTTCTAATCTTTCCTGTCACTAAAAAGTCTCTTACGAAGAGATATAAAAATATCAATATCTTTAACCTGTTAACTGAGTTCATCTCTCAAACAGAGATTGAATCGTTCTGGTCTCTAATTAAAAATTAGGAAAAATTATAATCAGTTACATTATTTTGGTTGTTGCGAATGTGAATACGATGCGTTTTATATTTAACACAGGCATAACGGTACAATTAAAAATGAACAATCCTTCCATAAATAAATTACCGTGTTCTAAGTACTGATTAACTCGTCTTCCGCAGTTAACAGGTTAAACGCGAAGACAAGTATTCCTAATCGTTTCTCCTATTAAAAATTACATTTAAAAATGTGCATAAAATGTGGGTAAAACACACAGAAAAGAAAATTTACATTGAGTAATTGTTAAAGTATTCGAAGTGCCAGCGTGTGGAGACCCATCGAGCGCCAACTGTTTTTCCCCGAGAGCACGCGTGCTGGTGCCGTTCCGTTTTCGTCCACTCGTGTACGGGCGTAGCGTTACGCCACGTGTAAAATATATTGTGTTGTGTTTTTATATCTCTCCTTGATTTCTTTCTGTTCCACCACCTCACATAATTAACAACCCAACAGTAATCATAAACGTATAATTCTTTTGCCAGATCTTAATATTTTCCCGAAAAAAAAGTTTACCATTAGAAGACAGATCTTGCATGAGCATGTTGCATGAGCAGCAATAAAAGAAAGGAGAAGTTAACTTAACGACCCCTTGCCAACCCTCCACACCTCACACCCCTGACCAAGCAATTCCAAATAAACTAAGCTGTGACGTGTAAGTAGCTAATAAACGCCGTGTGTGTTGCGTGTGTCGTGTTGAAAGCTCCGAAAGGTGGAAGCGGTTCCGAGTCTGATACATTAAGACGTAAGGAACGTAGTCGAAGCAAGTCGCCATTCTGGAGCTTCCGCTGGAGAAAATCCACCAAGCCACCGAGTTTAGACCGCAGTGGCGTGAGTGATGATGAACGCAGCATTTCCGGTAAGCATTTCCATACATATTGGACCCACATTGGAGGTTTGTCACAACCGTAACACAAACGCACCCACCATTTTTCAGAATCTGCCGACAAGAGAGTAATTTTAATCAATATTTAATTCATTTCACTCCATTAGTAATAATAATAATAATAATGATGATGATGATGATGATAATGATAGAATTAACATGAATTAATCATTTATAAATATTGATATATTAATCAATGTTTTATCGTACAGGTAATAAAGAAAGAGCCTCTGGTGTATGAAGTCATTTCCGGTGTTCTTGAACCGTTAATGTCTTTCTGTCTTTTCAGCCACGTTGGATATATAACAGGAAGCGTTCCCTTAATTTCCTGTGTGTGTATGCGTATGATGAACGTTGAATGAAATGTCTGGAATCTGGGGTATGACAATATTAACATATCGTATGCATCCTACTAAACACACGTGATCAGAATCGCGTGCGTAATTGGTATCGTATACAGTGAACGCGTGTTGTATACGTTTGGGTGGCAGAACTGCATTCCACAGCATCGTCTAACGTCTATTCTGATTAACTGTTCAGGTCTTCCTATTCGAAAGGATTTCTTGCAGTGAATGTATAATTATGTTTGCAGTTGTGTCTTGTACGTTTTGAAGGATGTAACGTAGATTATTCTATACTTCTTCTCCTCTTATTCTTCATTCTTCTTGTAGCATAGTTCCGTTGACTTTGAATCATTGCTCAGTCCTTACTTTAACTTATTGTTCAATATTGCAGAACAACGAAGTCCCACCGATGACGAATTCGAGGGCGTGTTGCAACGAAAGCACGAATGGGAAAGTACAACGAAGAAGGCGTCCAATCGGTCCTGGAATAAGGTGTACATGGTCGTTCGTGGACAGAGCTTGTTTGTCTATACGGACCAGAAATCGTACAAGGCGACGCCTGACCAACCGTACAAGGGAGAATCTCCTCTGGACCTTAGAGGGGCGACCATTACCGTGGCGAATGATTATACTAAGAAGAAACATGTCTTCCGAGTAAAGTGAGTCCCTCTCTGCCTCCAATGGGGAAGAATGAGGAGTTAAATAAGAGTTTGACCTTCACTCTGACATTGAAGTAGTAAAGTGTACTAGAAATGGTCGGGTAAAGAGTGAGGTCTCTCATAAATACCAATTGACTACACTGTTTTAAAAAAACAGTGGATGCAATTCTTTTTGCTATTCTTCTCCTCCAATAATGAATGTCGTCTAATTGTGCTGGTGATTATGAAAGCGGCCTAAGTCATATACTTTTCGTTTCGAGATATTTAGATTTTTCTTTTCCTTTCAATTTCCGACTATTTTGAAAAAAACAATATATTTTGAAAAATTTAGTTATTTTAGATTTCTATCAATATACAGTTAAATTGTTATATGTAATGATATGACAAGAGAACTCGTTGAAATTCGACGTTTTTTTAGGTCGCAAAGCGGATCCGACTTCCTATTCCAGGCTAAAGACGATGCTGAAATGAACGAATGGGTGACCGTCTTGAACCAAGCTGCACACGGCGCATCAGGTGCGGGCACGTCCAGGGCACACACATTACCCGCGTCCACGCAGGCCGAGACCAAGCGGCGTAGTTTCTTCACTCTCAAGAAAAAGTGAATCTTCTCTCGTTAGAAGTATCTGAAAAGTTCCAAAACGAAAAAGACGGTAATAACAGATCCCAGATATCGCGTACCATGAGTATTATTCACGATGACGCCGATATATCACGTAAAGTAAAAAAAAAAAAAAAAGGAAAAAGAGAAAGAAAGAAAAAAGAAATTCATGGAATTAGCTGAATACTTTGTTGTTCGAATCTTATTTTTTCTCTCTAATCATCGTTCATCTTAGATCTCTATTACACTCTGTTTCATGAAAAGAAACTTCTCATTATTCATGTCATTTTTCATATACTTTTCTTCATGCCGATGATTGTAAAATTAATTTTTGTTCGTTTA